TTATATGTATATATTTATTTATTTATTTTTTAAACACACTGAGCTTTTGCAATAATCTTAATCGCCAGCAGTTTCCCTGCTGGGTTAGCAAAATAAAAAAAAATGTGCTACAATGTAATTAAATAAATAATAATAAACATATAAACCAGGAAAGTCTTGCTTTGGTTGGTTCGGTTGGTTCAGATAATAAACCAGTTCCGTCCTTTGTGTTGCGAATGGACAGGCGTAATGCAGAATTCCGAGGCGGTCGGCCCGGTCTGGTTGTCAGCGGGAACTTCCAGAAGGCACACGATAGGAGCGTAGTTCGCGGCGTTCCGTTTTCGGATGTCTGATTGTGATTTGTCCATCTATGACGACGGGCGCTCCCTTTTCCCTGCACCCCTCTCACTATCGGAGGACTCTGGGATGCCTCCAGCGTGCACCAAACTTCCGTATTTAAATTTTATTGCCTGTGGGAGAGGTGACCAAAGTCTGAGCAGCGTCTCCGGCAGAGGACAGGCTGTCCGTCTTCTCGCTGCATGCTCTGCGTGTCCCGGTTCTCATGGTCTCCAGGTTGTACTTTCTATGACATGTAAGGGACACGGATGTTGGGGGGGGGACACCTGCAGGTTTACCTGTCTGTCTGTCTGTCTGTCCTCTACACTCACTGCGCCGCTTCTTGTGTCTTTCAGGATGAGATCTCGGTGAGAGGGGACGAGGCGGATATGAATGACCCCACATGGGCAGATAAGTCGCCCAGCGAGGAGGAGAAGATGAGGAGCCCCCAGAATGTGCCGGGCCCCGGTGAGGACGGTGAGTTGGATCCGGTTTGGGGAGGGAAGGGTTACACTGTGGAATGTGCAGGAAGAACAGGTCAGGGTTTCAGAGGGGTGTGTTACATCTGGATGAGCCGCATTGTAAAAAGGTAAATAGACTAAACAGACACATTGCCATTCAGGGCAGAGAGCGTTTCCAGGGAGTGCGGGCAGAGGCCATCTTGTGTTACTAGTGAGCCGGAATGGAGTGTGCAGAGCGCCGGGGTATGGGCTGCAGTGTGGTGGTAGATGAGCGGGGATGTGATGTATAATATAATGAGGTGCAGCGTGGTGGTAGATGAGCGGGGATGTGATGTATAATATAATGAGGTGCAGTGTGGTGATAGATGAGCGGGGATGTGAGATAGGGGGTCGGGTATGGTGTGAGGATTGGGATGGGGGGGACGTGTACACTGTGTGACTGGCGAGTATAATACAGATTAATCCTCCTAAGATCAACTCCGAATCTGTGTAAGAAGGAAATGGGGGAGGGGAAGGTCTCTGCCACTGCCAACCCCGGCTGGTGTAGATCTGCAACCCACACACGCTGTGAACAAACGTAGAAATACCTTGCCGCACTCCTTACCGGGGATTCCCAAATTAAATAAGTGGGGGGGGGTGCTCGCAGTGACCAAAATATGTACAAAATAAACCGATGTCACCAGCACACCAATAGTGTCCAAATAGAAGTCCAAAGTGTTCGTTTATTGGAACATCATGTCCCCAGACGAGCATTGCTGAGCCTGATGAAGGGGACCCTGCGTGGCCCCGAAAAGCGCTAGTTCTGGGGACATGATGTTCCAATAAACGAACACTTTGGACTTCTATTTGGACACTATTGGTGTGCTGGTGACATCGGTTTATTTTGTACATATTTTGGTCACTGCGAGCACCCCCCCCCACTTATTTAATTTGGGAATCCCCGGTAAGGAGTGCGGCAAGGTATTTCTACGTTTGTTCACAGCGTGTGTGGGTTGCAGATCTACACCAGCCGGGGTTGGCAGTGGCAGAGACCTTCCCCTCCCCCATTTCCTTCTTACACAGATTCGGAGTTGATCTTAGGAGGATTAATCTACCAGAACTAGCGCTTTTCGGGGCCACGCAGGGTCCCCTTCATCAGGCTCAGCAATGCTCGTCTGGGGACATGATGTTCCAATAAACGAACACTTTGGACTTCAACACTATTGGTGTGCTGGTGACAGACGTTTATTTCACACACACTGTGAGACACGTACTGTACATGCAGTACCTATATACTGTACATACAACCTACCTATATACTGTACATACAACCTACCTATATACTGTACATACAACCTACCTATATACTGTACATACAACCTACCTATATACTGTACATACAACCCACCTATATACTGTACATGTACATACAACCTACCTATATACTGTACATGTACATACAACCTACCTATATACTGTACATGTACATACAACCTACCTATATACTGTACATGTACATACAACCTACCTATATACTGTACATGTACATACAACCATATACATATTTTGCCGGGAATGGGGCTGTAATAGTGGTCCTTTGGATGGATAGGTTAGAGGGGGGCGGGATGGAGGTCATATTTTGCCTGGAATGGGACTGTAATAGAGGTCTCTGGGGTTTAGGGATCCGATGATGTGAGCAGGCACACATGTTCAGGGTCCGCTTCCCATACACGTGCACCCCCCGGGGTAGTGAGGTCCTATTAGAGGACAGCTTGTCGTATGTACATAGAGGATGCCACAGAGGGGCAGGTAATAAGCTCTCTGAGATTTTCCGGGTATAGGGTGGCATGTGACTTCCTCCTAGGGAGCAATGCTCGGGCCTAAACCTGGCACATGGGATTTCTGATCTGCATGTGTATTCCGGGCCTCCAAATACAGGGGGGCCCGCCGGGGTAAACCAGAGAAATCACTCAATTCCTACATTGGACGGAGACATCTCCCCTCCTGGCTATTGTAGTCCGCAGCGGTCAGAATACACGCACAGTGCTTGCATCTCATTGGCTGCAGTCACAGCCTTGCTGACTTATGTTCACCTGGCCACTTTCAAAGTTTACCGGGTGGTGTTGATGGGGCCACTGATGACTTGAATTTTGAGCCATAGGTGGGCAGCTTAAGATTTCTGACCCTTACCCCCCTCCCTTACCGCCTGTATCTTGTATGTGTCCTCTGCTGGCCATCACCTGACAAGAACCAAGAATGTTATTTGACATGCGTGGCTTGGAACGCACACATTGTTCCATATTCTCCATGATCCCCCCCCTCTTCTTTCCCTTCCTTCTTTCTCCTTGGATCCCGCACTCTCTCCGGCTCTAGGAAATAATCCGCCGTCCTCCTGTTCCAGAATTAGCTAAATTCCCTCGGAAGAAGAGAAATGAGGCTTTGCAGTAATGGAGGCAGTCCTAATCTGATGAGAGCTCCATTTGTGCCCAGTCTCCGGGCAGATCTGCCCCCCCCCGCCTGGAGACTGAAATCAGTGACAACGTTGGTGCATCTTCCATCTTCCTTGTCCCCAAAAGTGATATTTCATTGTCTGGTGGATGCTAAAACATCATACCTCCGGGAGTCATGCCTGTAACTGTCAGAGGCTTGTAGATCCACAACAGCTGGAGTGTCTAGCTTGCCTACCCCTGAGCCAAATAGAGCAAAACTGTAAGTCCCTCCAGTCATCTTAGACTTTATATTCAGGCTCTTGTATTATCCCAGTTGTGACAGGTTCCCTTTAAGCTTAAAGTTGAACTCTGGACAACACAGATATACGTTGCAGCCTGTCACTGGCATGCACATGGCAGCTCTTGTTTTTCTACTAAGTCCTCCCTGCAGATATCGATCCTGCCAGGAGAATCACTCCTCATTTCCTTTACATGGGTGACAACGCTGATCATTCTGCAGCAAAGTCGCCCAGCTGCGTTGTCACTCTGGTAGTGCATAGTGTAAGTCTTACAGGGGCAAGTAGTTTTACATGGACTTTTAAGTAAAAGGCAAGCAACCTAAGGGTGCATTTGCACACCTCTGTAATCCGTGCACATTTTCTCATGTTTCATCCCTCTGAGGACCTTACAAGTACATAACAATACCTGTTGATGGGCCAGAAATGCATTCAGCTGATGTGGGCCGATCACAGGGAAGGCAATGTGTAAGCAGATAAAACTTCAGTTTTTCATGCAGATTTTAACGATTGTTGAACTCACTTTGTCCCTTTCAGATGAGTCTTCCTCCGAGAGCTGCAACGGGAACACCTTTTCTGTAGCCAACCCATCCAGCGCCCCCCCCAGCTCCTCCCAGAACTGCACACTACCTGACATGAATGGGAACCCCCCTGCTGCTGCCCTGGAACAGACCACCACGTCAGGGGAGCAGCCCATCAACCTCAGCGACAAAGTCCGGCCTTCCGCGGGGGTCCCGCCATATCCGTCTGATGCCGAGGCCCTGCGAAGCCGCGGGAAGTATGCCCTGAAGGCCACCTCTGAGGTAGGTGCTGATCAGCTATGTTGTGGGCAATGAAGAGGTAAACCTTTATGGGATCTGAAGATGCTAACTGCCTACCTACCTTCAGTGCTCTCTGAGCCACTGACCCAGTTTTTGGGAATCAAAGGTAGAGGGTCAGCCTGACAGGCAGGCAACTTGTTGAAGCAAGTCATGGGAGCCCTTGGGTCCAGTAGTATAGGTCACTGTAGACCAGGGGTGCCCACAATTTTTGTCTTGAGATCTACTTTTCAAAACGACGAGTTCAATGAGATCCACCAACGAAAAAAACACCTGCATTTAAAAAACAAGCACATTAAAATCGTTACTGGGACTACTGCCGCTCTCTCTCTCTCTCTCTCTCTCTCTCTTCCCTGGCTGTCTCTCTTCTCTCTCTCTCTCTCCTGGCTGTCTCTCCTCTCTCCTGGCTGCCTCTTCTCTCTCTCTCTCTCTTCCCCTTTCTCTCTCTCTCTCTTCCCTGGCTGTCTCTCTCTCTCTCTCTCTTCCCTGGCTGTCTCTCTCTCTCTCTCTCTTCCCTGGCTGTCTCTCCTCTCTCTCTCTCT